ACAACAACAACAAGGATCCTGTGTGCTTTATAACACATAATATATATTTGAATAGTAGTACATGTCTGTAATATGTGAATTAACATACATACCATGTTTTGTGCAAATAACGTGCTTATATATATATATAATGCTTAGGGAAATAACATGAATGGAGGTTGCGTGTTTGTCAAAAAATATATAATGCTTCTGTTATTTGTTTTAAAAAATATGGTATATTGGGGATTGTCTTTTTTGTAGTAGGATATGTGCAAAAAGAGTTTGTAGGTTGCTACATGTTATGTGTACGTATTTTTGATAACTGCCTGTTAAGTTTTAATAGTTGGTGAAAATCAAGAGTTTCTTTGTGTGATTAAATCATGTTCTCAAAAGTTAAGTAGTTTTATTTTTTACCTACCTTTTTAGTGTAAAATCAAAAGAAGACTTATTACTAAGATGTGACCTGGCAAATTTAAGTCCGTTTTCTCTTTGTACTGGTGGAGCTTTACCTTTTGTAGAATGGTATCCTTGTTTTGAAGCAGCAAACTTTACTATATTGTCTGTCAGATATTGGGAAATATGGCATGGAGAATAGTAGATACTATATGCCTGTTGCATGGCTTGGTCCTTTTCTAAAGTATCACATGCCCCCCTCTACTGTGTCCCCTCCCCACACATAATATGGTTGAGATGCCAAACTCTGATGCTGGGATTTCCCAGCCTCACCCATTTGCTCACAAAAGGTGTTTTCCCAGTGTGAACTTTCCCGCTTTCACAAAGTCATGAAATCCTTGATTCAAAAGATTCCTTCCTGTTACCCCCATTCCAAGAACTTTTTTCTTAAAATTATTTAGAAATACTGTTAAAAGATCCTTTTTTAAGTGAGGCATATCAGACAAACTCTTTCATTTCTCTAGCAGCTTTTATTTTCATTTTCCTTTCAGTCCTAGTTTCCTAGGGCTTCTGCAACAAAGTACCACTCACGGGATGGCTTGAAATAGCAGAAATTTATTGTTTTTTGCTCGACTCTTAACTGAAAGGTGATGGTTAGAACCCACTTACTGGCTTTTCAAGAGAGAGATCTGGTCTGGTAAAGATTACAGTTTAGAAAACTGTATATAACACTGTAAGGGCACTTGTAATTGAATTTAGGGACCATCCTAATCCAGTATAATTTCATTTTAATTTGATTTTTTATGCAAAGACCCTATTTTTGATAAGGTCACAGTCAAAGGTACTAGGAGTTAAGATTTTGACATACCTTTTAGGAGGATGTAATATATCACACTACAGTCAGTGATGATGGGGTCCTGGTATGGCACTGTTGGGTAATGCATTGGACTGCAAGGTTGGCTTGAACCACAAGATCAGTGGTTCAAACCCACCAGTCACTACTTGGAAACCCTACTGGGTAACTGTGAGTTGGAACAATGATGATAATGGGGTCCTGGCATGGCATTGTAGGATAGGCACTGGGCTGCTAATCACAAGGTCAGTGGTTCAAACTCACCAACTACTCCTTGCAAACCATCTATAGGGTTGTGATGGAACTGACATGATGGCACTTAACAGCAATTTTAATTTATATTTGCCACTTTAAAATTTTTAACATTCTAATTATATTTTGCTCATCTCTTTGCAGGTTTGATGACAATTAGAAGCATGCTTTCCACTGAATTTCCAGACACTATTTATTATGCAGAATGTCTCTGAGTGAGAACGAGGATTTTGCCTATGAATCTACAGTGCACAGCACTAATATCTTGCTTAGCTTCAACGACCAACGAAAAAAAGATGTGCTATGCGATGTCACCATCTTCGTGGAGGGCCAACGATTTCGTGCCCACCGGGCCATGCTGGCAGCATGCAGCAGTTATTTCCATGGGAGAATCGTCGGCCAGGTTAATGCCGAATTTAACATCACTCTACCAGAGGAGGTGAGAGGTTCATGCTTCTGGAAACCACAGTCATTTTCATTTAACTTAATCTTACATAGTTTATAAAGTTAAAATTAAACAAGATGGTGGCCGTCTTGTCAGGCAGCTGAGGAGCAGTTTGTAGGCGTGGCAGTAGCTTGTTTCATATGCTTTTTTCTTAGAATTATGGTATTTTTCATGTAAAGTTATTGATTTTGGATGTAAGTTACTAATAGTTATTGAGCATTAACTAACATGCTTTTATGTTACTTTTGAAAAAATGACCAAAGCAGGGCACAGTAGTGGATTCAAAACACTTGAGAGACCTTGCTGTAGAGAGGGCATTCTGTGTGCCATTCTGTTACTATGCACCATATCTTCTGCTGGGAGACTGTTAACTAGGTGTAGGCTTTAAAAAAAAAATATTTTATTGTGAATTGAGCAAAGATTTGTGGGACAGATCATCACTTGTACATTCAGCAAGTCATTGCAATGATTACAATCCCCTCTATGCACCATCAGCCAACAGTATTTGCCTGTTATCTTTTTTTTTGATGTACATATATCACATTGAAAATATATATTTGTTTAAATGTCCAGAGGGCACATTTTCCAAGCCAGGCCCCTGCCTGCAGGTACACTGACTGCCTTTCTCAGTCCGTGGGCTTATAGTTCTCTGTTGCACTGTCTGTGCCATTCACCTCTGCCACCATCTCTGTTGTCACTGCTTTTCTGGATAGGATCCCTCACATCTCTCATATTCTTCCCTCTTGATGTTGATGGTCCTAAGGTCCTCTGTTCCTGAAATATCAGATTAATTTCTCCCCCCTTTTAGTTGCACCTCTTCTACATTTACAGTTGTGACAATCACCATTAATCCTGATAACAGTTACTCACAATTGAATCATAAAATCCTATCGCCATCATCACCAGGCCTAACTAGACAAGCGGAAAACTGTTCAGTGGGGATTCTGTCTTATTAGCTCCATAGTTCTGACATGAAGCACTCTCATGAAAGCTTGTAAGCCACCCACTTTTTGCCTTTATAGCCTCCCATTTTTGATAGCCAGTGTCTAAGTTGCCCATCTGTATCAACCCAGTGTACTGAGGAGACAAGCTTAATCTTTGATATGTAGATTCCTTCCTTTTTGGTTGGAATTTTGGGCAACTTCATCTGTAAGCAAAGGTCCAGTTCATCAAATTGTAGCAATTTACGCTTGTTCCCTGTATCAAACTTATCTTCCTCTGATCAAGTTCTGGTCAGCAAGCCATTCAAGCTAGGTCAAAAGGGTTACTATCCGCAAGTTTGGTAGTTCTCGCAAGCCTCCACCCACTTCAGACCAGCTGGCTGCTTCAGTCAACTCTAGCCCCAGTGGCTAGGTCATTGGCCGTAGACTCAGGAGTTCACAAGTCTCCCTGAACTTCAAACTAGCTAGCCCATCCTCTTTTCTCTCTTATCTCAAGGTCATCAGATATCTATGGAACATGGCCAAACTTAGCCCATGTCTTCATTGCTGCATTTTCCTCATTTATGTTGACTGGAGCGGTCACCAACAAGCATGCAAGACTGTTTCTGTGTTCCCTTTGAGCTTCATTCTTAGAAAGGGGTTTATCCTGATGTACTGACTTTTTGTCTCTCCCTCCCTTGCTGATCTTTTCTTCAAGAAGTATCTTTTGCTCCTCTAGCCATTCCTGGTTGGTCTGCATGCTTTTCAACTGTGAGTGTCCCACCTCTGAAGGTTCTGGGTGGGGCTCAGGATTCCTCAAACGCTTAATAAGAAGGCTATTTCCCTGGATACATTTCTAGTACCCTTTTAGGCAATCTAATCAGTTATAGGCAGAAGACAGGCTTACAAGTTTTCTGTAATCATATTTCCCAATATTCCTATCTGTACCAGTTAAATGCATTGCAGTAGTAGGCAGGGGAAACCAGTGTACACAAAACAGTCAAGCACCTTAATATTATTTCCCCTCCTTTACCCATTCAGACTTTGTCTGGGTCCCTATATCATGTTGTTGTTGTTACGTGCCGTGGAGTCGGTTTCGACTCATAGCAACCCTGTACAGGGTTTCCGAGGCTATAAATCTTTATGGGAGTAGAAAGCCTCATCTTTCTCCCATGGAACAGCTGGTAGTTTCAAACTGCTGACCTTAAGGTTCGCAGCCCTATTTGAGCACTGCTATTCCCAGGCTGTGTATACATCATAGTCTATGTCTATTCCATTTAGCACTAAGTCTTCCCGTGTCATCCCGATTCATCTACCTTCCTACCCCTTCTTGTATGTTATCTTCCCCCTCCTTTTTATTGCTCTCCCTGTCACCCTAGCTATTATGAGTCTATCCCCTCTCTTGTGAGTTACTGTCCCCACCACTGGTAACCATCAAAGAATTATTCTTTTAGTATGGAAATATTTTCTCAACTTTTTATAGTAATGGTCTTATGTGATATTTGTCCTTTTGTGCCTAACTAATTTTACTCAGCATTATATCTCAAGGTTCATCCATGTTATGAGGTATTTTGCAGCTTTAT